AAGAAGCTTGACACATCATGCTGCTATTGGTTCAAAAATAGTTCATGATTAGTAAGAAGCTTGACACATCATGCTGCTATTGGTTCAAAAATAGTTCATGATTAGTAAGAAGCTTGACACATCATGCTGCTATTGGTTCAAATCTTTTTCATGTATTTAATTCTTTCATCTATTTTCCATAATTTAGTTTTCAACTGAATCTAACACATCACAAACTTGCTTATTAATGGCTGACAAACAATTAACCACTTATGTTTATAGGTAAACTAATAAATCACTTGTAGACATTGAAATATAAAATACAGTACTACGAAGTTCAACTTTTTTTATTGACAGTAATATTTCACATTACAGCTCTATATCTATATATTATAGATATCAGTAATTCAAATCAAATAATTTCACTCAACAAAATTAATATATTTAGACATACCTCTAAAATATTAACTTACTATGAATAATGAAGGTTAATTACAACATTTTATTTTGATAATTTTTAATACATTTATAGGAAGTGTTCTGGATGATGAATCATGATTTGTTGTTCTTAAAAACATCCAGAAATCATTTGCATAAGCTATTTCATCTAATTAATGCTTGCTTTTTATTGTGGTTGGCTTTTCTTTCCTAAACATATGGCTCATACAATTGACACATTGAACTTTAGTTATTATCTAAGCACCATGATACAATAAATTCTTTCTTGCAATACAGCTCCCCCACCCCATATACTTTATCATAAATGTGACATTATTTTGTTAAGTCAGTCTTACTGAACAAGTTATATAACCCATTCATAGCTCTCTATCATAGTTACGGATTCCTGTCCTTAAATCTTTTATAAAATTAGCATGTTGTTCTCCTGTAAGAAAATTTGCTTTCACTGCCGGATCTTCCTTCATTCTGTCCATCCATGCTGTCAAAGTAGGCAAAGAAGTTGAAGATATGGGTGTTAATTCATTACACAATAAAAAAGCTGCAGGCAAACGTTCAAACCATGGCCAAATTACATAATCTACGACACCAGGCTTTGAACCTAGACAGAAAAGAAATTATAACCTTTTTAAGTCACCACACTATATATATATATAATAATCCTAGCTGCCATAAGAATTCATGATAAATAACATAATGTAATTTTAGCAGGTGTAAGACCAGGCTACCTTAGTAATTCTATGCAGTTTAACGAACCGGTTGGATACTTAGTTTATGTCAAATAATGCAATACCATAATATCAGGGAAATTCATAGAGAAAAGATATGTGAAGTGATTGAAAAAGTTCAGTAACATTCTAATAATGCAAATAAAATACTTGAAGAGAAAAGATAAAAATTATGGGTAAGAGCCATTCTGTAGCCTTGAAAACTAAAAAAAAATATTAGTTTTTCTTGTAAAAAATCTGGCAAAATAACAGTTGAAAAATAGATGGAACATATTCCAAGCTCCTGCATCACTTTTAGGCAAAACACTTTCTAACCTTAAAAAAGATGCAATGGAAAGTAATGAGCAATCAATCTACAATCGGCTTAATCACGGCAGACAAATGCTGTAGAAGAATATTTAACTGAACTACTTGTTGATGAATAAAAATCCTAGAATGGCTGTAGTGGAAGTTCATCTTGCTATCTCTCAAGTGAAGGATCATGTAAGGAGTGTAAACCCACTGTCGCAATTAAAGGCACGAAGGAGTCTGATGCATTGCTACCAGACATACATATTTCTTGTACAGATGTGTGCCAAAATGAAATAAAAATATATATAGTAACAAGTGTAAAAGGCCACTTAATTCCACAAAAAAAAAGTGGGGAGAAATTTCCAAGGAACTAACAAAAAATAATACACTACTTGGGGAAGAAAAGAGGCCAATTCACTTATAGAACTGGGTGATCCAGAGTCTCCACCTTTTTATACTTTAGATATCTTCTGAAAGCAAAGTCACAGAACTTGGCTAAATCACAAGGATCCTACAATTATACTTTCCATTGCAAATGAAAAGGCAGCTTATAAAGGATCTTCAAAACATACAATATAATGTATTTATTATCCATTACTCTTCTCCTGCACAGCTTCATAAGTGTAGAAAAGAAAATACAAAGTATCCATTGGTGTTGTTGTTAAAACTGAAAAACGTTTATTGGTCCTGATCTAACTACATATCTCTATATGAATGTGTACAAACATTTTGGGAATTTCAGAACTCATATTGGTTGTTGGATTGAAATTGGATAGGAGCTCCAGAACCTAAAGAGGTAGTTTCTGTTGGTCCATTTTCTCTCTTTATAGCCATAATATATTAAGAACATTTACTGAGTATGAAAGTTTCAGCTCATATTCAAACACCTGTAAAAATGTTATAGATGACAAAGGTTTATGTCCTTCTACCTATAGCTCAATTCATGAAAAACTTCACCTCAAAAAGTACTTCCAGGCTAAGCCCAAAACAGTTTGTCAGTTATACTACAGCTGAATTGGCCAGTTTATTGTGTGCAATAATACACTGGATGCCAAATTATTTCTGTAGGGTATATTTGTTGTGGCAAAGAGTGAGACAGAAAGTTTATGTGCAGCAAATGAGCCTACACCTTATAAAATGAAAACCAGCAGTTTTATGAACAGTTATTAAAAGGAAAGGGAACATGCATCACATTATTAGTAAATGTAAGGAAGATGAAGACAATCCTATCCGTGGGAAGAATATATCAGATTTTGAGGACAATCAAGAATTGCCTGACAGTAAAGTTGTACTTGAGAATAATTAAGCTGATGGATTAATAAACATCTCCTTGAAGTAGAGTTTATAACAAGATTAGACAATGGGGACTGAGATAATATCCATCATCTACCAAAAGTAGTCAATACTACAGTCAGTATGTTACCACTATTGTCTGGTATTGTTGTCAATATCTTTTACTATGGGAGTATTCTTTCTTTGAGTGCAAACATTCAGTTTGTTTGTTTTGAATTTTGCACAAAGCTACACTAGGGCTATCTGTGCTATCTGTCCCTAATTTAGCAGTGCAAGACTAGAGGGAAGGCAGCTAGTCATCACCACCCACCGCCAACTCTTGGGCAACTCTTTTACCAACGAATAGTAGGATTGAGCATCACATTTTAATGCCCCCACGGCTGAAAGGGCGAGCATGTTTGGTGGGATGGGAATTCGAACCCGCGACCTACAGATTGCGAATCGAGTACCCTAACCACCTGGCCATGCCGGGCCCTCAAACATTGAGAGCAATTTTAACAAAATCATGTCTTGATGAGTATGGCCCCCAAATTAGGACCAATGAATTTGTGCTGAAGCACCTTAATATACTAAAAGGAAGGGAAAAATTGGTTACATCTCAAAAACAAAATTCTAAAAGTCAGAACATTCTCAACAAAGATTTACCATTTCTACCAGCAATTGCCTGTACTCAGTCACACAATGTAGATTTATCATTGCCTCCAACAATAATAACATACAACTTCAATCACCATACAAAGGAGATTCATCAACAATAAGATCCTAGACACGGTATTCTCAGTTGATCACAAAATAATAACACCAAAACAGGAGGAAGGTCATTCAAGCAGTGTCCAACAAGTAACACCAAAACAGGAGGAAGGTCATTCAAGCAGTGTCCAACAAGTATGACAGAAGATTAATTATCTGAAAGTGTGTTTGTTTGTGTGGATTGTAAAATAATAACACCAAAACAGGAGGAAGGTCATTCAAGCAGTGTCCAACAAGTATGACAGAAGATTAATTATCTGAAAGTGTGTTTGTTTGTGTGGATTGTAAAATAATAACACCAAAACAGGAGGAAGGTCATTCAAGCAGTGTCCAACAAGTATGACAGAAGATTAATTATCTGAAAGTGTGCTTGTTTGTGTGGATTGTAGAGTTGGAATGTACATCTTTCCTGAATATTCTCTTCCAGTCCAAGATGACTAAGTGACAGTGTTTATGCTGTGATAAGACAAGCATTGAAAAATAGGACAAAATTAAAGGTATTCTCACAGTTGAAAACTGGAGAAAAATGACACTTCCCCCTAAAAATAATGCCAAACATGGAAACAGGAGTAGCAGCAATGGAGACACTTTCTATACATCTATTAATGAAAGTTTATCAGAAGATAGATATATTAAAAAATGGGAACAGAATGGTGTTAAAAGCCTGTTCATCTGCATCATGAAACCTTTTCCATTTACTAATACTAGGACCTTTGATGTAGAAATTCACATATTAGTTCTATCTCGTACAGATAGCATAGATTACTCAATGTAAGTAAATTAGTCAGTGACCAAATTTTACCACTTAAATCAATATTTTGGAAAGTGTAGCATTTTATTAATGACATACAGACTTCGAACAAACATTTTACAGGGCATTTACCAATATGATAAGTTATCAGAAGGTAACATTTACATACAATGTAAAACAGTTGAAGCTGAGCTCTTCAAAAGCATCTTACAGGAAGACATCTTTTTTTAGCACTTAAACTAGAAAGTGTTCTTGTACCCAAAACAGCCACAGTGACTAACAGATTCCTAAAAGAACAAGAGATAAAGCAGAGTGGAAGTAATAAACTTCATTACTACTTATGTGCATGGGTATTGTTTAGCAATGTAAGTCTCCCCCACCCACCAAAAAAAAAAACTGACATTTTTCAGCAATAGAGGCTTTTCAACACTAACTTTGCTCTGGAATCATACACTCAGAAATTGCCAATGCTGGCTAACACTATCCGTAAAATCAATGGATTTTCCATTGAACATTACATTTAAAATCCCCATGTTCAATCTATATGGTTTTATTCATTTTATCCTGCCAGAAAACCAGGTATGGATAGGCTGCTATGTAGCTTGGTGTTGCCAAAAAGACAATTCATTAGAAAAATACAATTTTTCAAATAAACCATTTTGTATCATTAAAATGTCCACCAACATTCTAAGAGCTTATGAAGAATATGTAATATGTCATCAATATATCATTAAAACTTTTACAAACTTTATAAAAAGAGGATACTATGAATTTCTTTTTTTTACCTCCAAAAAAGTGTGTTCCACGAGAAGCAAGTTTCTTTTCAATTAACACCAAATTATCTTGGATTTTCTGCCATATATCAGCCACGGCACATTCACCCTTGAATAATTGAATGAATACTCCACAAAACTAAAAAAAGAAAAAACATTCTGAAACTAAAAGATGCTGTTTAATAGTAAATAAATAGTAGAATCCACAATATCAACTACTTCACACACATTGTAATTTACAAGTGCTAAGAAATAAAAATGAATCAACACAATTTCTTTTTGCTTCATCTGCTTGAAAGAGGAAAGAATTGGAACCAAAGTCCAATCATCTTTGAATGCAGGAAGGAAAAAGAAAACATGCACAAAACAAACTTCATGAAAACAGCTCTTTTTATATACAGTTGATATCTTTGCTGTGATTGGTTCAGTCCAGATATTTCCTTTCACATTCAAGCCAAGCTCCCAAGACATGCAGGTGAGAAATTGTAATTGTGAGGTGGGTGTGACAAAAAAAAAAAAGAGTGGAATTTGGCTAGAAACCAACTGAACTTTATTTACTGGTTTAATTACTAGGGATTGCAATCCCAGGAATCCCATATGCTAATGGGGCTTCTCAAATCCTGGGATTTTATAGAAGACAATTCCAAGAATTTGAGGGTTGTATTAACCCTTTATGGGTCAAAGGATTGTCACTGATATCCCCCAACTTGTTTTCTCGCATTGTGTAACATTTAGCCAAACTGTATGAATATTTTTTAACCAATTTAACCAGTTTACTAATTAAGCTTCATTAAAAACTAATAGAAAGCTGCTTACATTCTGGATACTGAACAACCTTTCTCAATGGTTGATAATGATGCAATCAGATGCTCATGCAAAAAAGGATCTGATTCAAGCATTCACAAGATAAGGTAACATTTTTAATAACAAAGCTATGTGTGCAAATGCTTAAAATTTTACCAATCTCCTGTATTTGCATTATTTTTTAATATTCTAAGTTTGATAAGTAATGCATATAATTTAATTACTTTTGATTAATATGAAATGAAACTAAAAGGTTTAGATTCCCAGCTAGGATACCAGGGTTCAGAAAAAACTTTGGGATTGCAACCTCTAATCATCACCCACTTCAATCTAACTTATTAGTAAAACTACAGTGTAATTACAATTTTACAAGTATAATTTAAGTCAAACCATGAAAGTCCCTCAAAAACCCGTATATAATGCAGTAATCACCATAGTTTTCAGAGTGCCCAGAACAACAAACCTAAAATTCATGCATAAAAATGCTAATATAAAACCAATTCACGACAGACACATATATTGCTTGTTAAAATATTTTCATACAATTTATGCAAAAATGATTCACTAACCTCAATAGATCGTTACATTGTAAATGGTGAGGATAGTCCTGAGTATCTCCCTCAACTTTTTTTTTAATAATAAAAAACTAGACTGCACTAGACTATAATATATTGCTTATAATTATGTATGATGTGTATTTATAAGGGTATTATATGTGAAAGATACATCTGTGAAAAAAAAAAAAGGTGACATTTTGTTATCGAACTGTTTGTGAGTTTAACCGACCAAATAAAGAGAGAAAGTGAATTTGCACTAAACACTATAAACATTCTATTCATGAACATGGCCCTGATGAGGAAGTAGAATCAGTGTTTTTGAACCCAGTGTTTTACATCATGTTCAAACCCAGTTTTCATTACAGCATTTGATAGTTTATCCCACAATAGTCAAGGAAGGAGGAAGAGGTCTGAATAGAGCCCGACTCTCCCAGATTGCTCACATCTACCTAATACCCATCGGGATACAGCTAGTGGTGAGCAAAAAAAATTGCATTTAGAGGGCAGCACAAAATTGGGAAAAACTAATAATAAAATATTTATTTTGAAACTTTATTTTGCCCATTGCAGTAGTCACCACTTCTGGTTATAAACCATAAAGAAAACTTCTTAAATTTACAAAGATTTATCAGTGACCTAAGACCTAACCTCTCAAAATGGTGTAAGGTCAGGCTAGGAAGGAATATATCTGTTAACAACACATTTGGCTGGAAGAATCTAGATCTTATAAATATATGCTTGTTTTCAATAAACTATATGTTGATTTACTTATGTGGATTGTTAGAATATGATAAACTTAACAATAATATTCAATAAATTGGAATTTGAGTCACCAGAATATTTTGCCTTCACTACTGTATGCTCTGAATTTAATAATATTTACCTGGTAATGTGGCATAGAATAAAATTGTCTTAACTATCAAATAAATATAATGTAATACAAAAACATTTTCAAAAATGAGAAGAATATCTGAGAAACTATACAAACTTTTTGTATCTGTGGTTTGTTCCCAAGTCTTTTAAACTCCCCACTAAATTACACTGTTCTTCTCTGTAGAAGCTACATCGAATTACTTTCTCAACAAACCATACCATTTATTCACTTTACATTTTCTTTCTTTTTTACACAGTTAAAATTTTCTCTGCCCAATGGTATTTAAACTTTGCTTGTAGTTATTTTCAAAGCTGTTCTTCTTCAGTAGTTTATTACCACCCTTCCATGCATGACCTCACATGTGATGTAATAATAAATCTTGAAACAAAGAAAAAATCAGGAATGAAACAAAATTTGGTTAATTGTTTTCTCAAGGGATGATCATTTCTTAGCAAATAAAACAGATTTTGGGTGAGCAAAAATATTATGAAACAATCTATAAGTGCCTTGTTTTAAATACAGATAAGACTGCTCCAAGCTGTGTAGAAATGTAAGTTTGAACATTTTTTTTTTTTACTTTTCTTTGCACATTACACAAAATAAAGTTTACACAATCAAAAAATTTCAATTCTAAAATATCACCAAAATCAAGTTATTATTTCGAAATTGAAGTAATAATAATACTTCTATGTGTACTTAACACCTGAAAGTTATTCACCTGTCATAATAGTGTTAATGAATTGTTAGACATTGATAATGGCATGGTATGTATGACTTGCCAAAAATTTATAATGATTTGACAAAATAATATTTTGTTTAATATAGTTTTTTAAACTGTCTGTACATTACAATTCTGTGGTAAATATATATACTAACGATTGTGAAATAACCCATTAGTTACTTCATCAGTTACTGTTCAATAAGTTTGTGAAAGGAGAAATTTCCATTGAAAATCTTCAAACTGAATATCAATCTTGGGCAAGTGAAATATAATACCCACTTTCCCAGTGGACAACTGGGTTTGAAAGTGAATATCAAGCTCTGATTATCACACTTCATCATCTAAACGTTGTATGGGTTTTAAAAACAAAAATAAGTTTAGCATACCACTCTTAAAAGAAGTTTGATTAAAAATCTTATGTGATGTAAAATAGCAAATCTTACATACGCTGTGAACCATGGTGTCTATCTGTCTCATATTTACGACAACCACTTCCCGTGCTGCATTTAAAAAGCTGCGCATGCAGGCAAAGCTCAGCATTCACTTTTGAAATGACGGGAGAACAGGCAGGAATAATGTGAGATGCCAAATTTTATTTCGCCAGCAAGATATTCTACACTAAATTGTTAGGAATTAATCACACTATCATTCACATTTCAAAATGTGACGTAACTTAAAGAATAAAAACGTTGATTTACCGTATGTTATTGTTGAGCAGCTCTTAGCATGACTGAAATGCTCAACAATTACTTTTTTGCAATGGGCAGTATAAGTAGTTCAGAGTTTTGGCTCTGAGTGAAACCAAGAGTGCAACACAATTAACCTTTTTAAAGTGCATGAAATAATTTAAATCAATAGATTAACTTAAACGTTTCCCATCAATGGGGACAGGTATTTTTGCTTGTGTATTATAAAACAATTATTTTTAGGAAACACTTTGTTGTGCAAACCTGGATAAAGTATAACCCCAATGACCTTAAGTTACTTTTCTTTTCTTTAGGGTTCTTACAAAAATACAAAATTTTAGTTACTGTACTAGTTCACTTTTTAAAATCTGTCAATTAATAACCTCTGTAATAATAATATTGATGTACTTGTCATCATCTGCACATTTTGTTGCCCATAGTAACAAACACAATGTCCTTACCTTTGAAAATAACTCAATTGTTTTTTCCTCCTGAGCTTTCTGGTAAGGATCAGAGGGATAAAGTGGAATATCAGGGTAAACTTCTTCCAAGTGTATAGCAATAGTAAGTGAATCACAGATGACTTGACCATCTTTTTCTATAATAGGAATCTTTCCTAACGGGTTTTTTTCAAACAGCCATTCAGGTTTATTTTGGAGATTGACATTAACAACCTCATATCTAAATAACAAACAAAATAAACAAGTTACTACAAATTTGAATAAAACTTTTCTGAAACATCTTAATTGAAAAAAAGAAACATTTATAAGTAAATCAGACGCAAAAAATTAAACCCTATAGATTGTAGTGTGTATAATACAATTCTTAACTCATGTACATAAAAGATCTCAGGTTACAGTCTTCAGCATTATGAAAACTTGTTATTTATACAATTTGATTTTAATGAGAGATATTACTCCAGCATATAAACTTTATTTACAACAACAAATCAAACATTTCCTTTTTCTCCTAGTTTCAAATTATTAAGTATTTAGTAATTATATTTAACAGTTTCTACAGTGGAAATGAAACAATTATCAGCAGAAGAAAGGTAATGAAAAGTCAACAATTGAAATATGTATAGTTAGAACAGCAAAGCATAGATAAAAGGGAAATACTTTATAACAAAACCTTTTTAATTCAAACAGTTCATCTTAAAAGTTTAATCGATGCACATACAAGTTTCACTCCACGAACAGACATTCAATCCTTACATTGTTTATCCTTACTAATTAACAGAAGCGTAATGTATAGCATCTAAGCCAAATACTTGACCAAGTCCTTTGGTTAAATAACCAAATATTTAGCCACTAAATAGTTGATACAGTTCAAAATTTATATGCAACAAACTGAAAATCATTACATAATGTCATAAATTAATATACAGAAAATTAAACCTATAATGATAAGAATGCAATATAATATCAGTTGTGTACTCTCCCTATTAACAATATTTTTCACCATTATCCCAATACTATCTCCAGGTTCAACTAGCTTAAATTGAGGTTACTTTTAAATACTCAAAAAGGCATTCTAATTTTAATTTCTGTTGGTGATTATTCAGTTAAATGTAATATTTGTCAATTTTGTTTTTGTTTCTAATTTTTGTGTATGGTTTTATTTATTTTTTTATATTTTGGGGGGAGGGGGAGGCAAGAGGAGAATCTAGTCTGGGTGACACCAAGCTCCAGCCAAAGCTTAGTGGCCAGGTACCTGGACCTGGTATTCACCCAAATTTTACTACCCGTGCATCCCTACTTAAAATCAAAACTTTCATAATAGCAGCCCACTTCTATTGTCAGCATAACCAATTAGACTGGATTAACTCCCAATAAAAATATTTAAAACATTTTCATAACACAAAATACAGAATCTATTAATAAAAGTTGTTAAGAAAAGATCAATTAAGATCACCCATTTATCTCTAAATAACTAGAAAAATATCAACTCAAAGTTAAACAGAACTCATTCATATGTTTACAGAAAAAAAAAAGTTGGTTAAATACATTAAATAAAAAATAATAATAAAACCCTAACACCTTTGAAAAGTAAACCTGTCTTCTTCATGGTTTCATTACATTCTACTTTTACCCATGAAGAAGACAAGTCAAAATTTAAAGCACTAGGGTTACATCAAGTTTTTTTTTTCTTTTAATGTGCTTTGCCATATATTTATGATGTCTTTACTACAAACAGGATATTCAAAAAATTTTAAAAGATAATCATAATAATCGATAACTAACGGAATGTTTTTAGCTGTAAGCATCAGTAATGTTCTTTGGGCATAGGGACAATATCGCATGCTATAAACACGCATCTTTCCAGCTTCAAGTGGAGGTAAGGCAGAACCTAAAGGATGTAAAAAAGGATCATATTATATATTCTGAAACTTGTTGTAAAAATGTAATAAATCAAAGTAATAAAATTTTAGACTTCCTTGATAATACTGTCTACTTCAAACAGAATTTCAGTTAATAGTCATCCAAGTTTTCTTTAGTACAATTAAAAATTTCTTTCTCAATGATGTTTTTCAGAAATGTCAAAACTTTTCTAAGGCATTATTACAAAATATACAAAGATCTGAACTAATCCAATTTAACTTTAAAATATTTCAATTCTTTTTTTTTTTGTTATCTAACTGTATACCTAAATGAGTAGATTTAATGTTTTTATTTTGTGCAAAAATGGAAAACTGTCCAACCAACTGATTCATCAATACAAACCAAATGGCATCTGAGCCAAATAGTCTACAGATTCAACCTAATAATTTGTCAGTTAGTTTGATATTTAAGACACATTTACCAACATTTCAGTATTGTAAATCTTAACCACAATACATCAAAAACTACAAACAGATGAAATCCTACTATGAAAAAGCAAGCTTTCTGTGGCCACATTTATTGAACTTATATATAAACATCTAGTTAACATACCAGCAGTATGCTTCCAGCTTCAAGAGCCTTTTTAAGAACAAACAAATCTAACCATCAACATTCCTTCAAACAAGAAATAGTTTCCTATCTGTTCAACAAAGGTAAGAAGGTTAACAATAACAAATGCCCAAAGTTATAATTTTCCTATACATTAAATGTATTTCTGATAGGTACATACCTCCTCTCACATAAATAGCTATTCTTGTTCAGTGCTGCCCTCTATATGCAAAACATTTTTTCGCATGCCACAAGCCTTGAAGCTCCCACCAATCTTTGAATCAACTGATTCAAATGCATCTCACATGCAAATCATCATGAGACAACCCTCTACCAATAAGAGTCCATCACACTATTTTCACACATGTGACTCCCTCCATTCAATTCTACCGAACTATCACCTCGAGTTTTGGCAGGAAATGGAAGCATTGGTTTTCGGTGGAGAGGAGATAAGTACCTATTGGAAATACATGTTCAGTATAGGAAAACTATAGCTTCCGATATGGTACATTACCTCTTCTCACATAAATAGCAAGAATCCCACACTGAAAAGGTGGAGGGACCAATGCGAGGGAAAGAAATAAGCATCCCCCAAAGAGTAGATCCTCATGGTAGAAGATCATTCATGGGATACCGCATCACTTCTGTACCAGATATACTCTTCACCCACTGTGGAAAGCTGTGGCATATACGGGCAGAAAGATGGATGAACACATCCAAGTGAGAGAGAATTATGGCAGGATAGGTATCTGAACCATATGATAATTATTAGACTCAATCCGAGAAAACATAAAAGTTGGTAAGATGAAAAGGATGTGCCCTAGGTGTAAAGTGACTAAAGCATGACAAGTCAACTACAATCCAAAACCCAGCCACCGGGAACTGACATCCATATGGGGGTAGGATGAGGATCATATCACCGGAAAATCAACTACAATCCAAAAACCAGCCATATGGTGGAGGTAGGAAAGATGATAATACCATCTTCACCTCAAGTTCATGAGACCAGAGGGAATCTTGTACCCCCCAACCCATGAACGAGACACATAATAACAATGTGACAAATTGATTGAGCAACCCGGGAACAAAACATCGGCATGAAAAAGATGACTGTGTAATGTAAACCATCTCATTCAAATTTAAAATGATAGGAACCACCCAAAATACAGTAATATCCTCAGAACAATAAGAACATCAAGGGCTAGCTGAAGGGGAAGAACTGTAGTAATCTGCAAGTACCTCTATCATGACCCAAAACACAAATGAGGTAACAACAGTATAAGTGAGTGAGGGAATAGAGACATCTATAATACATGTGTGAGGACTTATGTTGATTGGTTCAGCTCTAATTCCAAAATGAAGTTGCTGGGAACCAATATCCATATAAGGGTAGGATGAGGGATCCCAATCAAAGGGGTGAACTGCAATTTTGATGACACACTCCATCAGCAGAACACCACTGCCCAACTTTACTGAATGGTTTTATAATCATTTATGTATGTATGTATGTATGTATGTATGTGTCTATATATATTATATACTAATTTGGCTTGCAACTGGAAAGTGGTAAGAATTCTCAAACTGCACTAGAAGAAAAGGGGGAGAAAGCACGGTATAGTCCAGAGGAATGAGAACATTTGAGACAGTGCAATGGGTGACCACAAAACCCTATTTCTTCAATACAAGGCATGGCAGGGATGGGCAGCTATCTCTTTCTGCTTTACCCATGTAGTCTGTGGGTGAGTACGGTCCAGGACGAACAAATTAATGAAGCAAACATATCGTGAGGATAAACCTACAAGGAATCTTGTGGAACACCACATCTCAGAAGTGTGCATTTTTTTTGGCCATGGAAGTTATAATTTTCCTATACTGAAAATGTATTTCCAATAAATACTTACCTCCTATCACAAGATTAGCTATTCTCATTCAGTGCTGCCCTCTATATACAAACTTTTTCTTTATGCATGCCACAAACCTTAAGCTCTCCCCTATTGGAATTGCTAGATTCCAACATGTCTGTCATGCAACTCATCATGCATCACCTCCTCACCAATAGGAGCATGACATGCTAAGGTGATGCATGCGACTCCCTCTACACTCCTCTATTGGACTATCACTTCAAAGTTTGGCAGAAGATGTCAGCACTGGAGAAATGTGGGGAAGAAGGGTGGGAAGTGTTAACAGAGGGAGTACCTATATAAAATACATTTTCAGTATAGGAAATACGTTACTTCCCTCCACTCATAAGATTAGCTAGAATCCCACATTCATAAGGAGAGACCGGTGCAAGGAAACAACAGAAGTACCCTCTGAAAGCATGCAAAGGATACCCCTGGAAATTAGATTCAGATCAGAAGAGAGAAACAGCACCACTTCTGAGCCAGATATACTCTTCATCCAACACAGGAATGTGTAAGATATAAGAGCAGAAATTGAGAGGAGCACATCCAAATTGGAGAGAATGTGGCAGGAAAGTGATCCTAACCATAGAAATATAATGTATCTCAATCCCACCATGAGAAAGGTGAATAAACAAAGGATATGCCCCTAGATACAGAGTGGCTAGAGTGTGGCAGACCATACTCGTTAAGTTAACTGCATCCAAAACCTACCCATGGGGTACCAACATCTGCATGAGGGTATATCTGAGTGGGGCATGAAAGATGATCCGCAACCAGATTGAAAGCACCAACCACATGACATGCAATAAGATGAATGTGATGTGCATGGGCCCAGTATAAAAGATCAAACATCCAAAAACAGAGTTTTCTGGCCCGTGTGCCACCTTGGTGGTTGATATGTCACACCACCATAGAATTATCTGAATGAACTATCACCAGACAATGTCAGGCAAGAAGAAGGAAGTGATGTAATGCCTGACGTATGGCCAGAAGTTTGAGAACATTGACATGCAAAGTGTTTTCATCTGCATACCAATGGCCTGAAGCCTCCTGATGATTGACCCATGCCCCCATCCCTGAAGGGATGCATTCATGAGAATTTGTAGGTCTGGATGCAGGGGAGGAAGCAGTACACCTGCCAAAATATGGGCTTTGTCCAACCACCAAATCAGATCATCTCACAGGGAAAAAGGAAGGGTAATGGAGGTGGAAAGAGGATCCTGAGCAAGGTACCATCGACTATGAAGTGCCCACTAAAGGGATCTCATATGGGCACGACCAAGGGGGACCAGTGATTTCATTGATGACTACATCCCCAAAAGTGATAGAACCTTACGAGCAGTAAGTAACTGAGCCAAGAACGCATGGCGAATCAACAGTTACATTGAACGAAGTCATAAAGAAGAAGGCTGGGCCCCACTAATATGAGTGTTTAAAAAGACTCCCAAATGGACAAGATATTGAGTGGGTCTGAGAAAGAACTTCTCCATTTTGATCAACCAGCTCACCCAAGCTGCCACAGAAAGGAGCAGTAGAGTATGAATGGCTGATTCCTGTCATTCATGTAATAATTAAATCATAGCCCCAGAGCATGGGGATTTCGAGTAAAAGCTCTGAATACTTGGCAAAATATGTAAGGTGCTGAGAAAAGTCAGAAGGGATGGCCCAAAATTGATAAACCACCACAAGATGGACAAACCAAAGATAAAGATGAGACTGAGGTGATATTGGTATATGTAGGTAAGTATTGGAGATATCCATTTTAGTCATCCACAACCCCAGAGAAAAGCCCATCTCAGGGTGAAAAAAGACTCCATGGTGAAGTGGAGTTGTAAAACAACGTTGTTGAAGCTAGACAAATTGATTACTGGTAGCCAATCCCTTGTTTTCTTGGGAACAAAGAAAAGGCAGGGATGAAAACACTGGGAAGGATGAGGAACAGGTTTGATGGTCCACTGCAAGAGCAATTCCCAAACCTTTTTTGACAGATGCTTGCTAGTCATGGGATCTCAAGGAGGAGAGAAGGAAATGGGGTAAGGAGAGATGGGAGGTGGGGAAAGAAATTGGACAACGAATCTTTCTGACAGAACCTGAAGCACCCATTTATTGCTGCTGAATGAATGCCAGTGATGAAGAAACTAGAACAGCCAAGCTCCATTTGGACCTGAACCCACTTGGTAGTCACTGGTACTAGTGGTGATGGGGGGTGAATCATTGAAGAAAGCAACAATAAGTACCCTAAGTAGAAGGGATGGGTAAGGGCTGGGAATGGGAAAGATGGAAAGTGGTAATTGGAAGCATATAAGGCTCTGACTAAGACAAACAGGCTATGATATTTATAATGGTGGATTGTTGTTGGACCAATGTCATCCAAGGCTCTAGAGTTTCCTGGACCATATCAAAAATGCAATGCCTCACAAATGGGGCCCATACATAAATCTTGAGCCAATATGGTATCACAACCTATGAGGTCCCAACAACAAAGAAACCATGTATGTAAAAACCAAAGCTGAAGACAACATGAAGAAAGATACCATAATAGATTTGTAGGGGTAAGACACAAGCAAGAATATTGGGCATAGGTAAGACTGACAGATGATTTAGGCCCCCCCCCCCCAAATATAGACAATAAGGAACCTAACAACTGCTGGTCTAAAAATGGATAGTCAGCACAATGGTAGGAAAGTGCAAACTGATCTGAAGTCCGTGGGAGGCGCGGCATGCTAATCCACTCGCTTAATTGTGAGGCAAAGTGATCAGCATGATCTCAAATATCAGGTGAGGGAGGAAAACCAAAAAGGGTTGGGAAGATTGTTCACGCAATAAAGAAGGACAAGGTACATAAGAAATATGGGGAAAGGAATAAAATATCACAAACCTGTGCCACAAAATCAATAAAGACTGGATTAGGCCTAGTAGACTCATCAGATTGGAATGAGAAGGAACAGCAAAATATGGATGTGGAAAACGATGATTGAAGTCCTTATCAGCCTGTACTGGAGGAGCCTGGGCAATGTCTGTGGACAAGGGTTGTCCCATGTAACATTCAATCTCCCAGTTTATAAAAGCGGAAAAATCCACCGTCAGGTCATCCACAGTTGAGGCTTGAGAAAAGATGTTGGTCATTGGTGTAACCTCCAAAGTGGTAACGTTAACTTCAGAATTTTCTGCACTCGCATTTGGTGATCCTTTCTGATAAATACTAATAAAAGAAACAGGCTGAATGAAATCAAATTAATTTTAAAAACAACCACTTCATGAGAAAACAAAGTCGAACGTGAAGCATTAAACAAACAAAAGAGCACATCTGAACACAAACCCTGCCAAATTAGAAGTGATAGTTCTGTAGAGGAGTGTAAGGAGAGTCACATGCATCAAGCATGTCATGCTCCTATTGATGAGAAGGTGATGCATGATGATTTGCATGAGAGACATGTTGGAATCATGCAATTCCAATATGGGATTGCAGAAGGCTTGTGGCATGCGTAAAGAACTGAATGAGAATAGCTAATCTTGTGAAAACCCCAATCAAGATCGGGCATACAGGACAAATGAAGAAAACCCATAATATGCAAGTCAACATGGTATTACAGTGTGGATTTGACTAGTTTAAGTATACCTGGATGGGCACTACTTGCTAAATAGAGGAATCCAGAATGAAAAAATAAGAAGTATATATAACAGGTGGATGATGGTACTGCAACAAGGAAGAAACAGCTACTCAAAGTACAGAATGGGAGATGAATGTATGAGATGTAGTCCCTCCAATGGACAACAGGGTAGATATGCGCAGGGAAAAGGGAAGGTACATAACTACAGTGTAGACACTTGGAAGTGATGGCAGGAAGAAGGAGACAAGGAATAAAAGGCCAATCGAAATACAATCCAAATCCAATAGGTAAGGGAGGAACAGAAGAAAAACAGATAAAGAAGTGGAGTAAGGGAAGAAAGCCATGAGAAATTGATTCAATGGAAAGAAGCAACCCACAGCAACTACTGGACGGAGAAGGTCATCTGGATCCCACCCAAAAGAAATGTGAAAGATGATAAGAAATGAAAAAGTCAAAAAAATATACCACATGAGCCACTAAAATGAAGGTTAATAAATTCGACCTAGAACAAATGAAACAAATCGAGCCAAAGCAGCCAAGAAAACCAAAGTAGTACCAGTCAGGAAAGATCAATCAGAAAGACCTGAACCGGAGTGACATGGATGAACAAAAATTTGGGGAAGAAGACTAATGGAATGAGAAAAGAACTAACGTTATAAACTGGGCATAAACCTGTCTGAACTTCACAACTGCCAAGGCAAGTGGATGATGAACCAGAAACCAAAAACAAAAGGTACTTAACTGGGAATTGATAAAAGATTAAAAACTTTACATGCAGGGGTACCCCACAGGAGGCAGAGCCACCAAAAATTAGGAGGATTGAGAAGTCACTCCTAGGGAGAAAGTGTATCGGGACTAGAAAGTCAATTAGCAACAAGGACAAAGCATATGGAACACGACCTTCCATGAGATGTATGTCAAGTGAGTAGGTCCAAAAAAGGAGATCCACTG